CTTTATCTAGACCTCTATAAATGCCCTTTGCCTCCCAGCTCTTTCCTCTATTTCCTTTGGCTTTCATCCTGTCCCACTATCATGCTGAGTCCCCACCAGGGTTTCAGCAATTCCTCTTGGTTACATTACCCTTGATCATGCCCTACTAGGCTTCCCACATCCTCCTCACCACCAATTTGGATCACTTATTGTTCCCTTATCCCTGGATTTGTTAACACCACTACCTTTCTTCCCACCTCCCCTTCTGCCATGTCCCCCTGGAACTGTTGGTCCCGTTGTTTTCTCCTCCAGATTGTTCATGCAGCTTATCTTATTTAGACAGACCTGCGGAGATAATAACATGCACAAAAGACAGAGCAAAAACAAGCAAAAATATACAACAAAACAACAACAAACCAATGACAAAAAACAACAGAACACAAGAAAGAAAAGCTTGTAGTTAGTTCAAGGGTTGTTTGTTGGCCTTTAGGAGTGTTTTCCAGTCCAGTCTGTTGGGGCACCATGCCCTGGCCCCAAAGTCCACCTTCAGCATTCCCAGAGGACCTCGCTGCTCCAGCTCCATTCCCTTGCTTTTCTGTTGCACCCCCTTAGTGTTTTGCCTCGGTGTGGCGGGGTCAGATCGGGTGGAATTCCTACACTGTGTCTCCGGTGTTGTCTCCTGTAGGGCTATGGGTCAGTGAGAGGCATCCCGTCTCATAGTGAGGCTGGCCATGTGGTTCTCTCTGTGGACTAGCTGCTCTAATTGGGAACATAGTCCTTACAGCCTGGTGGGCCAGGATGTGCTCCACTTTCTCCTCCTTCATCTGCACCAGTGTGCTCCCATCAGATATGTCCCTCTCCCGGAGCTGCAGATTCAATGCCGTCCTTTGAAATAAATTCTTCTGGGGGGAGGGGCAGGCGTCCACTTAGTAGTTGGGATTGGGGCCAGCCCCCTAGACCTCTCCACTGGTTCCCTACTCGACGCCGGCATGTTGCATTCACATCTTGGAGCACCGGGTTGATGTATTTTTAAAGTGAAGGCTCATACATAGCCTTAAAAACTCTCCAGATTCCTTACCCACTGGATCTAAATAATAGTCTGAGTGGCTCAAAAAAGTAGGAGAGTACAACTGAAGTGGATTGGAAGTCTTTAATGACATTCACGTTCATTTAAACGTGTGTATGGATGCCTTACTCTTTTTCTACCAGAATTTGTCTAACGCCTATTGGTTTGCAGCAGTTGAAGTGAGGGAATATCTAAGGTGAGTGAATAATTACCCTATAGCCCCTCTGGCTATATTTAGTTGTAGGTAACCAATCCTTAGACCCTGGGAGTGGTGATATGTGCTTACACATGTCAGATTTCCTCAAAATTTCCCCTGAACTTTTGGTTAATATTTAAAGAGATTATTTTTTCTGAAGAAAATTTGTATAACTAAGAAGTTTTTTTCGGGGGCAGGAGCAATTTGATATAGATTGATACCTAAATGAAGTTATCTTCTTTGTAGAAAATTAGAATGGACATAATTTAAGGTTCTGCTTTTCTATTCTGTTTGTTCTGTTTCTACTGGTCTAGATTCCCTTCCCCTTGCCTTCTCTTTCCTGTTTGGCAGGGTTGGCGAGTGAGTCTCATGTAACTTTTTAAAGTACATAATACTGGAGTTGCTCTGGGTTGGAGCTTACTCGGAAGCACCGCT